ATGTAGCAACTTCAACTTTCTTTTGTCGTATTGACGAGATCTCAGAATATACCTTAGACTGAGTGATGAATTATATGAGATTGTTTCTATGTTAGGGCTTTGTTTTTAAATTCCTTTAAAATTGAAATCTCTTTAAAATTGAAATCTCCACTAGGATAACTTTCCATTATCCAAAATTTTCTTTGTACTAAATGTTGAATTACTTGACCTAAATGCTTAAGCCTCTAGAAGCCACATGTATCTACTGTCTTCAACATGTTCCCTTGTGTGTCTGGGTTCATTTTTTACCATTAAAGCTTTGCACGTGCACAATTTTTTAATAAATGGGTGGTTGTGAAACTTGAACTCAGGACCTTTATTTACTTTGATGCTATGTTGGACAACTTGATTTAAAAACTTAAACTGTTAAAGAAGGATTACATGTATTATTTAAATATATTCTTAAATACTTAAATCCTTGAAATATTCCGTTTAAATTCTTTTTACATGCTAATCTTATTCAACTGTTGTATCATTGACACAATTTGAGGAACTTTCAGGGGATTGGCCATTTATTATACACTGAATTGAGAAAGAGACTTCAGAGTGTAGGCATTCACACTGTCTTCTGTTGGGGAGACGATGAGTCCAAAGGATTTTGGCTAAAACAGGTATGTATTAACTGGTGCTTGCTTGAAATTGGTTCCAGAACTGTTGTTCCAATCCCTAGATTTAGTTTTCCTAATGTGCACAAATGTCCCCATCAGCAATACCTTTCTGGAGTAATTCTTTGTCATTTTATAAAAGAATTAAGATTGAGTATGATTTTTTTACTAGTTTTATCATTTGTTTCCTTTATAATTTGTTGTATAATCTGGCATCTTCAATGTAATAGATAGATAAGTACACTGCACAGGCACGTTGGAGTTGGGGAAGGGGGTTGGGTGGGGATATCAACAATAAGCCCATTGTTTGGCCCCCATTAAATTCCATTACCTTACATTTTATTTTTCTCTCTCCTATTTTTAACCACACTATCTTCCATAAAATAACATTACACGTAAATCAAAAACTTTTTCTTCTTTTTCAATCACTCATTTTTCAAAAAAATATTATTCCATGCCAAACAGGGGCTAAGTTTTGTTGGCATCTATATAAAATTTATTAAGTGGCTGGTCACACATTAGCACTAGGGTTAGTTCTATGTCTGATGAATTAGTAGTCACGCTTCCCATATTATTGTCCCAGCACCATTGCATTTTATTCACCAAATGGAGTGGAGAAAAAGGATTCATATAGCTATCCCAAATTTTATTGGGAATAGGGTTACCTTGTTGTTATTGTTGCTGTTTGCAATTTGCACTATTGCATTTCATTTTTGTGAAGTTGAAAAAAAAATTGCAGGGTTTTGTAGCAATTGGTAAGGTAGACACAAAAGGTAAAGCTCGCAGACTACCTATTAAAGCAGATATTCGAAGAGCATTATGCTTTCCTGGCGGTTCAACTCTCATGGTTACTCATCTTAGCAAGGATAATTCACCTAACTATTCAAAGTATCTAAGGCTGTCAATCCCAATAAAGCCTCCTGGGGAATATTGCCCATCCAAAATTGTTGAAAACCAAAAGCTAAGAAGTATTGAAGAAAGCCATAATTATCCCAACGAAGCAAATAGGAGAGAATGTTCTCAGACTGGGAAATTGGTCATTGAGAGGTTTTCTATGGACGGTATGTGAAATATGTGTATAAGAATATATACATGCACTTGTATTTTCTTCTTGTTTCATCACATCGAAATGCACAAACAGTTTTTTGAGCATAAGTGAGGGAGTGAGATCTTTTACTTTGTTCTCTTAGTTAAAATACTTTGCTACCAGTGTAAGGGATGATTATGTAAATTAACTTATTTCTAACCTAAAACATCAGTAGTTATTTAAAAGTCGGGCACTAAGGCTTTTTATTTCATTGTAGATGCAAATACTGATTATGCAGTGCAATTGTTAAAACATTTGTTCGCTCTGAATTGGTTATATTCTATATTTTATGATCTGTTATAGGTTGCAAACATGCAGATCTTGTGCCAACAGTGGGCCACCATAGTCCCGGTAATGGTTCTGGACTAATTAAAAGTGGAAGTGAAGCTGGTTTGGAGCAATGCTCTTGCTCGGAGCTGGGAACCAAGAAAAGATTATGGGAAGCCTCATATACCTCACTGAAGTCAAAAAAAGTTAAGGGTGCTCATGTAATTGACTGTCAGTTGGGTTCTGATGATTCTGTTCCAGGGAGGGATGGAAGAAATGATTGTTGTTTTAATAATAATAGTTACCCAGCAATTTCCGGGGGAAAATTCTCCAATGACATTTTTCCAAACAAAGATGGTAAAGCTTGTAAAGTCACTATTGAAGATTGTGGTGCACTGGAGGTTCCGTCAAGTGTACTTTCATTTAGAATTATACTGATGAATATTGCTGACGATAACAAGAAGTCAAATCTGACAAAGGTATTGTCTAATTTTGTATTTGTCAATCTCAAACTGATCTTCTGGAGATTTCCACATTTTGCCAAATCCATTACTGTCAGCATGGTTCTTTATTTATGTCAAGGTCATAGCAATTAATTGATATAGAGCTGGGATGAATCAGATGTTTTGATTTCTTTATCCTGCCCACGACCTTGAAAATACCATGATTTTCTGATTTGTTTTGTACAGTTTTTAAGATATCACGATTTGGAAGATATGGGAAACACTGTAAATTCCATGCTCATTATAATTGAGAACAATCACGGAATTTGTTTTTGTCCTTATTAATTAGTTTGATGCCCATTTTTTGTTTCGCTCTTTTTCACATCAAAATGAGAAAAATAAAAAAATATCACATCTGGTTCGAAGTTTCACCGGCAATCATCTTAACCTGAAATGACTTTACAACAAAATATTCTTACAGTAGTTTCTCTTTTTTATTTCCTTAATAGAAAATTTATTTTACTGTTGTAGATAATCGAAGACCTTGGTGGACTTGTTACTTCTGATGGAAGTGTAAGCACTCATGTTATCACTGGAAAATTGAGAAAAACTTTAAATTTCTGCACCGCTCTCCGTTCAGGGTCAGTTTTTCTCTTTTTCACTATTCTTTCTAAATGAAAAGTAATTGATTTTATTTTCTAATTTTCATGATATATTTCAATGCAGGGCTTGGATAGTCTCTCCAAGTTGGTTAAAAGAAAGTTTCCGGAAAGGCAGATTTGTCGGTGAGTAACATTTGCTGCTTTTCGTATATACTTAAATAGTCTAACAACGTTAAATGTGTAATGGAATTTCACTTCTTACTCTGCAGATGAAATGCCCTTCACTTTAAAAGATGAAGAATACGAGACGAAGTACAGAACAGAGCTCAAATGTGCAGTTCTTAGAGCTAAAACACGTCCCCGAGCATTGCTTAAAGGTCTTGATATATGTCTTGCAAATCACGTGCAACCCCCAGTAGCTACACTGTCGGCCATTGTTAAGTCTGCTGGAGGAAATGTAAGTCATCTCAAAGGTTTTTCTATAACGTAGATAGATGGTATATGACTAGACAATAGTAAAAAAAAATTGTCGTCTTGTTGAGCGTGGCATACCACGTCCTAACAGCTTCTTTTGGTAACATCTAGAGAAACTCAACTGGACTCAATCTGATTTATTTTTCTGGTGGGGGTAGATAGATGGTATATGACTAGACAATAGTAAAAAAAAATTGTCGTCTTGTTGAGCGTGGCATACCACGTCCTAACAGCTTCTTTTGGTAACATCTAGAGAAACTCAACTGGACTCAATCTGATTTATTTTTTGGGGGGGGGGGGGGGGGAACAGGTTATTAGAAGAGTGGACAAAGTGAATGAAGCAACAAAAACTATCTTTATAGCAAGTGAAGAGGACATGGAGGAAGCTCTATTGGCTGTAAAGAAAGGGATTTGGACATTTAGCAGTGAGTGGCTCATGAACTGTATTATGAGGCAAGAACTTGATTTGGAGGCCCCTCAATTCGCAGAATCCCTTTAATTTCTTGGAAATATGTGAATGCATTTCAGGAATGTGAAAATTGGAAACATTTTCGTTTTGGCAGTTTAAAATATTTATAGGTGGGTTGTTATGAAATGATATGAATGAAGTGCTTACTTAAAATTAATCATGCTACAATTATAGAAAATTTTGATAGAAAACTTTGATAGACATCATATGGCGAGAATTGATTGGAAGATGGATAGTGAAAAAAAAAATTTACATTTAAAAATCAAAAATGTATTTTTTACATTTACGAATTTTTTTATCAAGAGTAAAACGTTGTTCAATTTACACCACTATTTTGGTCTTTTAAAACGCTTGTTCTTCAACTGCTCCATTTATAATTTTATATTTGGCTGCCCAAAATGGAAACCTCCGGTTGTCTGCAATTAAGAAGTTGGTTCGAGGTTGATTGTTCGAGCTAAATTTAAAGAACTCATTGCATTAAATAATTGAGATTTTTTTAAAAGAAAATGAAATTGTAAAGTAATTAAATGACATCGCCTAAATCTATTGAATTGATTGAGAAACTTGTTAATTTGGAAATCAAGCCATACAAGTATACATTGCATTAAAATTCAGCAATGAGCATATAAATATAAATCTTTTTGTGGTCATGTTCAAATTCTACTTATTGTGATTATGAGAATTAATTTGTTGGCTGTTAAAGAGAAAAGTGGGTTTCATCTATGAAAAAAGAAGTTAAAAATGACGGTTAACTTAGAAAAGTAACGGTCAAAAAATTAATTTTTGGGGTGAAATCAGAATCAAACATGCACTATGTTTGTTGCGATGTATTCAACATATTTATTCTAAGGAAAATTCTATACGTACATAATGCTATCCAGAATGTTTTACCTAATGTTGATGTGTTGATAATTTGAATTCAAAAAAACGTTCAATATGGTCAAAATATCTTCCACATGGTAAAAATCATTTGAAAACAAATCACAATCTCTCTCTTTCAGTCTCTCGCTCTCTCTCTAAAACAATAGTAAAAATCATTTCAAACCAAAATCACCATATTCACAATCTCTCTCTCTCTTTCAGACGCTCTCTCTAAAATGGTTCGAATCTCTCTCTCTACAACCCTAATTTAGTTTTCGGCGGCGAAGAGGTCCGTCAAATAGCCGGTTAAAATCTTGAACGAACAAGTCGAGGAGAGCGGTGAAGACGACGGCATCACACTTTCAAATCTTCGGCGGCGAAGAGCTCCTTCAGGTTACGATTTTCAAATCTGACCTCCATTTTAGGAGTTATTTTCATTGTTCTATTACTGACTGCAGTATTTGTGATCTTCTCAAATATAGAACCATGGGACCTTTATATGTTCACTATATGTCGGATTTAGCTCTCGTTTGACCCCCATTACCTGAAAATGAAAATGGGGGGAATAATATTTTTTAGAAAAATGAGTGGTTGAAAAAGAAGAAAATTTTTTCGATTTACGTATAATATTATTTCATGGAAGATTGTGTAGTTAAAAATAGGAGAATGAAAAATAAAATGTGATGTAATTGAATTTAATGGGGATCAAACGAGGGCTAGTTAGCCCGAGGGTGCATTTGAGAAAATTTTTCCTTTTATATATAGACACAAATTAAAATTCTAGAAATTGAAGGATTTATGTAATACCTATTTTGTATATGTACAATTTGCCCAGATACATCGCTGCAATTTTTGTCTTGGTGCTGCAATTTCGGACTTATGTAGATATAATTTGTGGTTAATTAGGTTGGAACAATATGTAGCTACAATTTTTAAATATATGCACAATTTGAAGGAAATTGTAGGGTTTATATAAAAGTCCAATTCACAGGAAATATCAGTGTCCGGGACTGCACATGTTTTTGGTTGAGTTTCACACCAACCTGCTTGTTAGATTTATTCCTTTGTTTTGTTCGTGCTTTCAATTTCTGAACAAGTGGGTTTTTTTTTTCTTTTTGGATTAGGATTGTTCCATGGCCAAAAAGAACAGAGGAATATGTCATACACAGATGAATATGTCATTCTTGTAGGGTGGCAAGACAATAAAGGGATGTTGTTCCATTGTTGCACCCGCGATTGTAGGCTTTTCAAGTTTTCTAACACTCCGCTCTACAAAGAGTATCCATTGCAAGGTGAATCAAGTGGCACTACCAACGGAAGTGAAACGATCGATGATTTGTTCCGTATGTTGAGAACGTGTGCAAAAATAACCGAGGAGAGAAACGTGGAGATTTCATTCAACTTATTGTACTTAAAATTCCTGTGATGGTGGTCATAGAAGCAAATTTTTTGTTAAGATGTCTTGATCTAGAACGGTTTGTGTTGTATGTAGTGAACTATTACAAGCGTTCTCAATCAAGTTTTTCATAATTTCTATGGATACACCCAATTATGCAATTTTAAAATTCATGGCCTTGCTGCGGTTTCTCCTTGAACCTGTTGTACAAGTGATATTGCAGATTCAGCAAATTGACTTAGTAAATTAATAACTCAAACAAACACTTTATTAATCAAATAATTTTAATATTAACATCAGCAAACTAATCCTCCATTAACCCGCTAAACCAAAAAAAGAGATTATGCTAGTGGTAAAATCACTTAATTCCAAGAAAATTGTGCTTCCAATATGATAGTGAAGGGCTGTTGAAAAACTTGCCCAGAGTGCGAATTGGGATTAGCATTGAGGCAAAACACAGCTGAACATTCCAACATATACACAAAACTGATAAATGAGCTTATCCAAATTTCGAGCAGTAATTAAAACAATGCTAATAAGATATTGATATATAAACACATATCAAAACAAAGGGCCTTTTTTTTTGCTACTTCTCAACACAATTACCAGCCCTTCTCAAAACAGTACCCATAGCTATGATATGCATCATTAGATTCATTACAATCTTGATATCGTTCTTTTCCACCCCACCACCAGACCCACATCAAAATCTGGTAGATGCCTTATACGCCTACATCAAAATCAATTGAAAATCTGCTAGATGCCTTATACCACTACATCAAAATCTCCAACACTCTCCTGCGTGCCGACCTCCTACCAAATGGAATTGCAATTATCATTTACAAATATTTCAAAAGGGTAGTTAGCTAAGTTGGTGTTATATAATCTCATGCTAAAATACCTTAACATTGAATGATGATGAAACTTTGTCTTTTTGCCCGTTCGTTGTAGTCGAATTCTGTAAGTCATGGAGAATATACTCAATTCAATATGTACAATGATTATCAAAATAAATATTTTTGCTTGAAATCATACCTTACGACAGATTTTCGATTTTCTGGAAACAGCTTCTAGATGTCTCTTTCGGCGAAGTTTTTTAGGAGCTCCCTTACTTTTTATTTCGGGTCCAAGATGATTCCGCCAGAACACTTTTCGGCTTCATCCAAGCGTTGAGAGCCCACGTTGCTATACTTCAACATCGATGAATCATTTGTTTGGATTTCAATACAATCCATGATACCACGTGACCGTGACTCGTCGTGTGCTACCAAGTCAGCTAACTTCGCAAAAGCATTGCACATTTGCTCATATCTAACTTGGTCTGGAGTACTAATTCAAGCCGTGTTCGGAATATACAAAAGTCCTTGCGTCTTCATTTGATAGCAAACCACATCCAAGTAGGGTTGATTGTCCATGATGGTTTACCCCAACGAAAGGAGCGAAAGGCATCTCGTACTTGTTGGTCAAGTACGTGGTGTCAAATGTAACTATATCACCGAATTCCTTACACGCTTGCCTACACCCGTTATCTGCCCAAAACACGTTCCTCAACTGGGCCTCATCATCCAAGTCTATGCTAATGAAGAATCTAGGATTGGTTGCTTGCATCCTTGTAAAATACACTTGTATTGCAAGAGTATCTCCTTCACCCAGTCTTAACCGTCGGACTTTGTCAATGAAATTTCTACAATCCTTCTCAACGCACGTAATAATTTCGTAACCACCGGCTTCAACTACGGCCGAGTTAAAACTCTTATGTAATAGTATACCAGCTACGTCATTTATTTCAAGCCGTCTTCTCGCGCGTGCACTGATTTCTCGATTGCAGCGATATAGCCTTGATTTCAATGGGCTTATCTTGTGATTATACTCCAGATGGACAGTGTTAATACGCCATGCGCCACTAAGTTCTGAACATGCTGTCAATCTTGCTTTACAGCCTATTTACATTGTTGGTTGAGGCTTCATGACTGCATTTGAACCACTAGTTCGACGGCCCTCCCGACTACATGTAAAAGTTACATAACGTACAACACCATCCTCACCCTTCTTTGAATTTCTTTTCCTCACCGGAAATCCAACTTGGTACGCGTAGTTCTTGTAAAATTCGAACACCTCATTCTCATCTTGGAACTTCATTCCAACACTAGGCACAATAATATCAGTTCCTTCTCGTAAACTCATGTCATTCGGATTGTCGTCTTCGGATGAAGGGATTTCCAAAATACCTACATTTATGACAAGAGGAACAATAATCAATTCCAACCTACATTTTTGACAAGAGGAACAATAATCATTTCCAAGTATTTGCACAAACATGCCAACATTGACATTAGAATATAAAGCCAACAGCTTGTCAATTTAGCATAAACTACAATTAGATAATAGGGATGGGGTAGGCTGGGTTTGCATCTCCATATATTTCAAAGCTTTTGTTCCAATTTAGAATGTGTTCACAACAATTAGACAGTTCAAAAATTATCATTTTCCACTCTTAAAGGCCACTGTCAATCACGTCACAATGGATAGACTTCCAAACTTTGAAACCAACCGTACCCTTATTCTTGTCCCTATTTTCTATTTATGTTCTAATTGCCCAGAAACTAAATATAAAAGTAAATATAGTAGCAGATTTTTGTTCTAACTGTTCCATTTTAGCACCATATATAGCAACAGATTTTAGGTAAGATTAAAATTCACTCAAAAATGTTTAACTATAAGTGTTGTTCGAAGTCATATCTGCACCAGATTTGCCAGAAGTTTGAGAAAAATGCTATGGTAGTAAGGAAAGGCACCATAATACGAAATCATTCATCTGAACTCAGGGAAGAACACAAATTCATATAGAACATGAGCTCACATCAGCGATATCAAGATTATGAAGAAGAAATGTTACTCATGTTTTTGCCAGAATCGATGTTGCCGCCGTCGGAGTTGCCTCCTTCCATTTCATATTAATCTCTATAATAAATGGGTCTTGGGTCCACCACAAAAGATGGAGATAACCATGTCGGGTTCACCATTATATCATCGTCGGCATTAATGTTACCGGTGTGGTCGGAAGAATTTTCCTCTCGTTCCATTTCTCGATCACTGGGGGAATTTGGAAAAGAGACTTGGGGTTGGGGATTGCAAATCGCGGTCAAATGGGCAGGATTAAGGTTTTACAATTACAAGAAAATCTCCTTTTAAACTTCAGCGATATTTTGACATTTCTTCAGCGATATTTTGATTTTGATGCCACATCAGATTTTGTAGGATATTATGTGAAACATGGGGCACGTCTAGCACAAATCGTTTCGCGAGAGTGATCGTGACTAGTTACTATCCAGTTCACTTGATTCCCTATATCATCGTGATCAAATATTGGATAGAAAAAGTATAATGTTTGCTTTGACATCATGTAGTGCGTAGAAGTATTTAGAAGTCGCAATTGTCGTATGTACTACTTTTGTGCTCGATTGACGTGAAGCTAATGATAGATGAGCTTCTGTATTAACCGTGCAATTATTCCCAATCCATGCAATTCATATCGGTTTCACCATCTTGATTAACTAATAAAGATGCGTCTATCGTGACTGATGATATTTAGAAAATCACTCGTCACCAAGTCCTCTATTCGGTAAATTATTTGTTTCGATTTTAAATCCATCGCAAGTGTACGGTTCGTTAACAAGTAGTAAAATGGACTATAAGTCCAAGTATCGATCCCACGAGGATTAAATTAATTCGAATTAATCTATTATGACCTTAACCGAAACACGAAAAGCAAATTGTGTTTTTGTACTTTAACTAACAAAATGTAATCGTTGATGCAATTATTGACTAAGGATTATACTAAATTCAAAGTAACTTGGATGCAATTTAACAAAAAATTTATAGAATTAATGGATGTTCTAACTCACTAGGATCACGAATCCCCGAACAATACCTATCCAATAGTCATTTATGCAAATTTGACACACAATTCCACAAAAGATGAATCGATATTCCTATTTTAATTTAGCAATCTCTCTTGAGCAATGCCAAACTTATCCCAATATATGATTCGATTATATTTTTATGACGAATACTAATATACCGACATGCATTATAATTCACGAATATCAATTGATTCACACAAGGCATAGAGGTATATTTCTATCCTCTATCGGACCCTATGACGATTTATACTATGTCGAACCTATTTTCCTTCTTTCGAATGCATAAAACAGGTCACCACATTCATATAATCACGTGCACAATAATTATATGAAAATAAAAACGAAATAAATCAATCAATTTCGGAATTGGTGTTTACATACGTCAAAGATCCAAAACAACAATTAAACGTGGTATTACAAGGTTCATCGATCTCCTAGTAGTAATAAATTTATCCTAACATGCTAAAAAGAACAGAACTTAAAAGTATTTGAAGAAACGACATCACTCGAATCAATATTCACTCCGATCTTCAATTGGCACGGTGTTTATCTCTTGTTTCTTCTTCAAAATCTTCCAAAAACATGTAAAAATGGCGTCCCCTTCATTCTGATCGAGTTTTTGTATTTATAGGACCCTAAAATCTTGTTTTCATAAGAGTTTCGGAAGAAAAAGGAAACCAGATTTTTTTTTTAATTTTTGTTCTATGCGACCGCATAGAGCAATTCTATGCGGTCGCATAGAAGAAATTTTTCAACCATAATTTGGTCGCATAGTACTATCAACTATGGAGAAATTACGTGTGGTCCTCCAATTTGCATCCTTCACTTCTTAGCATCTTCTCTTCATTCTTTTCATTTCATCACCCCATGATATCATCAGTTGGTAATTGGCCTAATTGATTTCTCGATTTGTTCATCAGATCAACTTTTGGATATTTGCACTTTTGGTCCCTGAACTTTACTTTGCGTCACTTTAGTCTTTTTTCGTGTCTTTTCTCCTGAATTTCACCATGTTCATCGTTGTTTCCTACAATTCACAAATATATAAGATTAAGTCACAATTCAATCATTTTGCTCGTATTTAAGTCATGTTTGTAACCTAAATAAGTGTGCAAAAACACACTTATCAAACCCCCAAACTTGAACTATTGTTTGTTCTCAAACAAGATAGTGACTTAATTCTGAACAAACATGGCTTAATACCCTGTTGTGGCTCAGAATTGGACCGAGTATTTAAAAATTTATCTGTACAAACATGACATCAACCTTTACCTGTTTAATGCAAACTGACGTGTGTGTGTGAATTCATGCCAACATATCATATTTATGATGAATCTGAGTCCTAACCCCAAGTGGTCAAATATATCCTTACTCGCTCGAGAGATACACAATCCCCCCAAACTTATTCTTTTCGCTCAATTGTCCCAGGGTTGTGTTTTAAGATTAGGAATTTATATAGTTGTAGTCCTCACCCTTTCGTAGTTCGGATGTAGCATTACTATCACAAGTCTACATTTCAAAAAGCGAAGGCTCTCCTAGATTTAATTGCTTTGACAGTCAAGATCAAACTAGATTACTTGTCTCACCTCAGAGGTACAGTCTCTTCAACCAAATGTCTAAGGGCTTTTTGTCATGTTTTGTCTCTCTTTTATTTTTCTCACCTTTCTTTACTTTTTGATTGATTTTCATCTTCTCATTTGCTTTCTATATAACCCATGTAACGAGCTTTAGGCCGGTGACTCCCAAACCAGTTGGTTGTAGGGCACCAGGTTTTAAACCCTTGCAGACTTATTCACTCGAGTTATAAATACTTGATAAGATGACTTTTTATTAACTCCTTTCCCTCTTGCTTTCTATATGACCCATATAACGAGTTTTGGGCCGGTGATTCCAAACCAGTTGGTTTTAGGGCACCAGATTTTGAAATATCCTTACAGGCTTACTTGCTCGAGTCTTAAAGGCATGAAAAGAAATGTTTTATTCTCACATATAAAAATTGTGTCCTTTGTCTTTTTTTTCTAGACATTTAGTTTCCAAAACCAACCCCTAATTTAAGATTTTCACCTAATCTTCACCCCTCTGGTCTATACAGTCCACACAATAAATTTCATGCACGGAGCTTCCACTCATGTCAATGCTTTCCTATAATAGCTTAACCATCACCAAACTGTCTTTAGGTAGTTTATGGGTTAACTCAATAGAGGGTTATCATTTTTTTCCTACTTTATGCTCAAAATCCATTAACTCACCTAACATGTCAAGCATGAATAGCGTGCATAGATAATGTCATATGTTGTACCAACAAGTATCAGTTAGTCTAATTAACACCAGATCCAAAGTTTTGCAGTTTAAACTAGTCCAATAATAATATCATAGCGAACGAGGTTATTAAACCCACACAAGCATGCATGAAGAGAATTAAAACAAACTGAATAGAATCCAATTTTTTTTTCACTCATCATGCGTGCATTATGCAGTAATGAAAACAGATAATGATGAACAGATAAAGGTGTGAAATAAATTGCTATGTCACCCTCCCCAAACTTAGTTAATACATTGTCCTCAATGTAAGATTAACAAAAGATTAACGACATAATTTTTAAGGACAAAATGAAGATGAAGAATCTAAATGGGATAAACAATACTCACCTGATCAAAACGGCGGCTGGGATGGAAAGTTGGGCTCGGCATCATCATCGCCAGGAGGAGAGGGAAGGCGAGACAAGATCTCCCTCAATATGGTAGACTGCTGGGTTTGCTCTATCTACATGGCCTGAACCCTCGTCTCCAAATTTCCTAGACGGTCCCAAAACTCGTTCACCTGCCACTGTATACCGTCCATCCGACTAACGTACATGCCCAAACGCCCATCAAAGGTACTCATCTATCGGCGTGCTGCGATGGATTCACTGCTGGCAGTTGATGCGAAGTTTCGTGCAGATGCCATATCTGTCTGTACCTGCTGAATTGTGGTAGTCAGTGCCCCAAAGGATTGCTGGAGCTGCTGCATGTCTCGACCGTGTCCAGTCATAGTAGCAAACATCTGCCGTAATAACTGGGTGTCCACGTCAACTGGTGGTGGTGGAGCCTGTGGCATTTCAAAGTCCGCAGCTGCTTGTCCCTCTGTAGCCTGTTGCTGTCGTCGGCGCTCGTTTTCCAATTTCTGCTGATGTTTAATCCTGGCGCGATCCTGGGCCTCGAGTGTGAGGTGTTTGATAAAAGGACTTGGTTTCTCCGATGCCTCCCCTGGCTGAACTTGAATGCCAGCTGCTCTACAAATTCCACTTATCAGGCTCAGGAATATCAGTGATGTGTGCCTGTCACCCCATACGCCTATAACGTGTATCTGATTGTAAATATAGGTGGCCAAGTCAATTTTGTTCCTCCGAACTAAGTGGTAAATAAAACCTGCCTTCTGATCGGTGAATGTCGTCCGATGGGAGATTGGCTCGATGACGTGGCAGATGAATAACCAAAGGATGGCTATAGACGGAGTGAGGTCTATCTGATACCAATCAGCAGTAGGGAGCGGCCAAGCATTTTTTCGGCCCAATAAAACTTCGACCACTTCAACCCAGTTGAAATCATGCGGGACTGGGACTACATTTGTCCAGGTGAGATGATAGTAGTCTGATGCAGATGGTCGGATCCCGGTGTGTCTATTTCAGCATTGAAATTTGCATAGAATTCCCGCACCAAGTTTTCATAGACGGGGTGTGGTCTTTCAATCACCTTTTCCCACCCGCAGTTGTGGACTAGATAAACCGGTTCAAAACTTGGGAAATCATCCAATTTAACTGGTCTTTCGGGGATAAGTGCCCATTCCCGGATAATATTGGCATAGCGTGCTGCTTGGTCGGAAGAAAGAAAACGCCGGACTCCCCCTTCGGGCTCCCTAGTCCGGGTTGTGCCAGATGTGGAACCAATTTTCTCCTTTCCCTTTGATGTACGCTTTGGGGGCATCCTGCAAAGTTAGAGGTACAGTAGTCAGTAAACTGCAGTAATAAAAAACGATAGGGGGAATGAGGTAAGCGAGACAAATAGTTTACAAACCCCCCAAACTTGCTTCAACGAGCATATAGAATACCATGGTGTGCACGTATCAAAGTATGACAAAGAGGGAAGTATAAAGAGAATGTTGAGGTAAAAAAATAGGAAAGTTAGGCCGAAACAAACACATGTAAAAAAAATCATATCCATGATCGAGTGCACATGTTCGACCCCGGACATCATCGAAAAATATCGATATTCCCCTAGGCAAGCTCCAGGCATATGAGAGTATTCAATGAGATCTATCACATATTCAAATTTCAAAGCAAATGGACTTCGTTTGGTATGCCAATTAATGGCAGAAAGTATGGGACGTAAGGTGCTGTGACATGCCATGTGCTTATGCGTTGCAAGGTGGAAGTGATGTGATGCATGGTCGTTCAAGTGGTTGTGAAAGTAATAACATGCAAATGTTAAGAAAAACATGCTCAAGAACGTCCAGGGAAAGCAAAACGACAAGTTACACACAAACACAAGTGTAAACAACCAAAATGGATCAAGTAACCCGATGATTAAGTGTGCATGTTCGTCCCCGGACATCATCGAGAAAAGTTGAAGTTTTCCCGAGCAACCTCCGGGCATATGAAAGTATGTAGTGTGGAGTAACACATATTCATCATTGGATGTCGTACGGGTATCTAACGCAAGGGACGAAGTGGGTGCGATGAGGTGACGTGAACCTAACACGTGTGCCTTAATGTGTGAGTGGTTGGTGCGTGAGTGTTTCGACTCAATTTTGATGGTAATTGATCACAATGTGCATGATAGGGTACGTATTTGGAAAAACAATTGCGAGATATCACATAATGCACTACAAAGCTCGACTAGACATTTTATCGAACATATAACATACATGCATTGGAAGCTTACAAAATACCTAAAATGTGATGTGCCACCCATCCAAAACACAAATCAAGTTCAACATTCACAAATTCAACGACTACCTAATGCCCATTCTCCACAAACAAGCTTAAATAGCATATTCTCATGGCGAAACAAATTAGAGAAAACAAATACATAGAAGAAGAAAAGAGGAACGTACCTAGCCTTCGCACGGGATGCGTGGAATGTTGATTGATGGAGTAAATGGGGTGAGGAATCGAGTGAAGCTCGGCGTGTTGATGTGTGTTGGAGAGTGGAGAGGATGGTGTGGGAGGAAATTAGGGGAAAAATGGGGAAGAATGTCTCGGTCATGGGTTAAAACCATGACTGAGATCTACTATGCGGCCGCATAGTACTAAGCTATGCGGTCGCATAGTAGTAAGAATATTCCCACTTTTGTGTTCGGTAACTATCTATGCGGTCGCATAGACATTATGTCTATGGGATCGCATAGACCAATTTTTTTTTTTTTAATGAACACTGAAATGCAGAAAAAAAGTATTTTCCTCATAAAAAATTATTTATTTATTTATCTAGAAAAGCGTGAACCATGCTCCCAAACACCCAACATCGTTTCAAACTCAACTACCATGTATGTAATGCCTAGAAAATTATGGGGATGATAGTTCAATCCAATTAACATGCATGAATAACTCATGACCCTAAAAAAAATGCAAATGCAGAAATGAAATAATTTCAAAAAATAATGTGAAAAATAAGCTAATAAAAGGATACAGTGGGTTGCCTCCCACCAGCGCTAGATTATGGTCGATAGCTCGACTTTACCGTGTTGCTTCATTCTGATGATCGAAGATGAACGGTAGACTTTTCCTTTGAAAAATTGCCGCCCCAATAATGCTTTAGACGCTGTCCATTGACCTTGAATGTCCCCTTGCTGTCGTGAATGATTTCAACTGCCCCATGTGGAAAAATCTATGTAACAGTATACGGACCAGACCACATCGATCACAGTTTTCCTGGAAACAGCTTAAGCCTAGAGTTGTAGAGTAGTACTTTCTGCCCCACCATAAATTCACGCCTCTGAATGTACATGTCATGCCATTTCTTGGTACGCTCTTTGTAGATTCTTGAATTCTCGTAGGCTTTCATTCTGAGTTCATCCAGCTTATTAAGTTGTAGGAGACGTTTTTCACCCACAGCCTTCAAATCCAAATTCAATTTCTTCATTGCCCAGTAAGCGTGATGTTCTATCTCAAGGGGTAAGTGGCATGCTTTCCCGAAAACCAGTCGATATGGTAACATTCCTATAGGGGTCTTGAATGCAGTCCTATAGGCACACAAGGCGTCGTCCAATTTCTTAGACCAATCCTTTCGTGATGAACTTACTGTGACTTCAAGTATTCGCTTTAATTGTCTATTGGACACTTCGACCTGTCCGCTGGTTTGGGGATGATATTTAGCCAACAATTGTTCGAACTGACGATTGCAGAAATGTTTGCCCCCATCACTGATTATAGCCCTAGGTGTTCCAAAGCGGGTAAAAATATGTTTCTTTAGAAACTCAATCACCACCTTCCCATCATCGGTAGGTAGTGCAACGGCCTCTACCCACTTTGATACGTAGTCCACAGCCACTAATATGTATTGGTTAGAGAAGGATGGGTTAAATGGCCCCATGAAGTCGATCCTCCAGACGTCGAATAGTTCCACCTCCAGGATACTATTCAAAGGCATTTCATTTCTCCTGGATATATTTCCGGTGCGTTGACATCGGTCACACCTTTTCATGAATTCAAAGGCATCTCTAAATAGTGTAGGCCAATAAAAACTTGATTGAAGGATTTTACTTCTTCCTCAGGTACACAGCGACGAACAATTTGATCTGCACCTCGCCTGTATAGGATGTGATCCTCCCAGAAATAATATTTCAATTCAGAGAAAAATTTCTTCTTCTGGTGACTGGAGTAATCAGGCGGCATGATAGATCTGGCTAAGTAGTTAACGATGTCGGCATACTAGGGTGCCTCCCCCAAACCAAAAATCTGTTCATCTGGGAAGACTTCGTTGATTTCCACTGTTTCTATCTATTCTGTGGTCTCGAGTTGAGATAAGTGGTCTGCCACTACATTTTCACTATCTTTCTTATCCCTGATTTTCAAGTCAAACTCTTGAAACAACAGTATTCAACGAATGAGACGGGGCTTTGCGTCCTTCTTTTCCATTAAGTACTTGATAGCTGCGTGATCTGTGTAAACGATAACCTTTGATCCCACGAGATATGACCAAAATTTGTTAAAGGCGTAGACTACGGTAAGGAGCTCTTTTTCTGTAGTTGTATAATTGAGTAGAGCTTCGTTCAAGGTCTTACTTGCATAGTAAATCACGTGAAATATCTTATTTTTTCGTTGTCCTAAGACAGCCCCAACAACATAATCACTGGCGTCGCACATTAATTCAAACGGTAGATTCCAATCTAGCGTAATGATCACTGGTGCAAAAATCAACTTCTCCTTCAAGGTGTTAAAAGCAAGTAGACACTCATCTGTTAACTCAAATGTGGATTCCTTCATCAACAGACCGCACAACGGTTTAGTAATCTTTGAGAAATCCTTGATGAACCTTCTGTAGAAACCGGCAGGCCCGAGGAAACTACAAAAACCATTCATAGATGTAGGTGGCGGTAATTTCTCGATCACCTGAATCTTTGCTCTGTCCACTTCAATACCCTTTGCTGAGATTCTGTGTCCTAGCACGATGCCTTCCTGCACCATAAAGTGGCATTTCTCCCAATTCAATACCAAGTTAGTCTCCGTACACCGCTGTAGCACAAGACTCAAATGCTCCAAGCACTCATCAAATGAAGACCCGAACTCTGAGAAATCGTCCATGAAGACCTCGATGAATTTCTCAATTATATATGAGAAGATAGCCATTATGCAGCGCTGAAAAGTTGCAGAAGCATTGCGTAAACCAAACGGCATCCTACGGTATGCAAAGGTACCGTAGGGGCAAGTAAAAGTTGTCTTCTCCTGATCGTCAGGTGCTACTGAAATCTGATTATACTCGAAATATCCATCCAGAAAATAATAATGTGAATGCTCAGCTAGTCTTTCCAGCATTTGATCAATGAATGGTAGTGGAAAGTGATCTTTTCGAGTAGCAGCGTTTAGTTTGCGGTAATCAATGCAAACTCTCCATCCAGTCACTGTCCATGTAGGAATCAACTCGTTTTTCTCGTTTTCTATCACTGTGATACCCCTTTTCTTGGGAACAACTTGTACTGTACTGATCCAAGCACTATTTGATATTGGATAGCTGATGCCTGCGTTGAGCAACTTCAATACCTCAGCCCTAACCACTTTCTTCATGTGTGGATTCAATCTCCGCTGACCATCAATGCTTGTTTTGAATTTTTCCTCCATGAGTATTTTGTGCATACATAGCGACGGACTGATCCCCTTGATATTTGCAATTGACCATCCAATGGCTGTTTTGTTTTCCCTTAACACCCGAAGTAATTTCTCTTCCTTCACTTCACTGACAGTACTTGAAATAATAACCGGAAGTGTAGAAGATTCCCCCAGGTAAGCATATCTCACGTGTGGTGGCAGTTGCTTGAGTTCCAATTTGGGAGGTTGCTGAATAGATGGCACTGACTGTGTAGTCCTGGTTCCCAGTTCTTCGAAGTAACGTCTGCGTATGTATGGCGGATTAGTCTCCAAGAATCGTGCACATATTTCAATCTCACTCGAATCAGTGTGAGTGGATTGAAAATGTGCAATGCACGCCTCGTAAGCATCGGAAGGATGATGTAGCCGAAATGTATCTTGAATTATTTTGTCAATTACATCGATCTGGAAATGGCTGTCTGACTCAGTCGGGAATTTCATTGCCTTGAACACGTTGAACGAGATTTGCTCTTTGCCAAGCCTCAATATAAGCTGCCCTTTCTAAATATCAACAATCACTCTTCCAGTAGCCAGGAAAGGTCGCCCCAATATAAGTGGAACATCCTTATCTTCCTCCATATCCAAGATAAGGAAATCAGCTGGAAATATGAACTTCTCCACTTTGACCAATATGTCTTCAATAATCCCTCTTGGATGTGTGAGGGATCTATCTGGTAATTGTAATGTAACCGTTGTGGCTTTAGCTTCTCCCAAGCCGAGTTTCCTGAAAACAGAGAGAGGCATTAAATTAATACTTGCTCCTAGATCACACAATGCTTTATCAAAGTGACAATTTCCAATAGTGCAAGGTACAGTAAAACTCTCTGGATCCTTTAGTTTTGGAGGCAACTTCCTCTGGATTCTGGCACTGCACTCCTCAATTAGCATTACTGTTTCGTGTTCTTCTATCTTTCGCTTGTTGGAGAGGATATCCTTCAGGAATTTTGCATAACTTGGCATCTGAACAAGTGTTTCGGCAAATGGAATGTTGATATGTAGTTCTTGAAGACTTCAAGAAATTTACTGTATTGCTGATTCAATTTGTGCTTTTTCAATCTCTGTGGAAACGGAATAGGAGGCTTATGAGGGGTGATAGAAATGGCATCCCGTGATGTATTGGAATTCTCTTTGCCCACATTCCCTATTGTTTGTTCAGTTTGTTCCACAATTTCGTTATCCGAGGTTGGTGCTGATTTCTTGCTAGCTACCGATCTTTTGACATGTATCTCCGGTAGTTGTACTCCACTTCTGGTTGTTATAGCCTTTGCGTGCTCTTTAGGGTTGATTTCAGTGTTGCTGGACAGATTTCCTGGTACTCTACCCGTAATGGAGATTGCCATCTGTCCCATTTGTGTCTCCAAATTTTTGATTGCTGCACTCTGGTCTTGAAGAGTTGCATCTGTCTTTCGCATAAACTGATTGTTGGCTTCCATATACTGGTTGGTTGTTACCATGAACTTTTCAAACATCTCTTCCAATGGTAGCTTTTTATCCTGCTGCTGATATTGACCTTGTGGTTTGTTTTGATTCTGATTGCTCTATGAGAAGTTTGGATGTTTTCTCCAGCCCTGATTGAAGGTTTTCGAATGTGGGTTGTTTTGTTGGCGTTGACCCCATTGCACAAAATCTGCATGTTCGACCCCTTGTGCGAGAATTGGACAATTAACAGTATTGTGGTCTGCTCCACATTCTTCACAACTCAGCTTCTTGACTTGTTTAGCAGTGGCGGTTTGTGAAATGCTCTCAACCTTATGGAACAAAGAGTCTATCTTTGCAGATAGTGCAGAATAAGTATCTACTTCATAAACCCCTGGCAATCTCTTCTGAACCACTCGATCTATAGACCACATGGCTAAATTTGTTGCCATTCTCTCAAATAGCTCCCATGCTCTATCAATTGTTCTCGTGGAGATAGACCCGTCAGATGAGGAATCCACCATGCTCTTGAAGGATGAAAGTAGTCCAGTGTAGAAAGATCGGATCTGTGTCTTCTTGTTAAAACCATGTTGCGGGCACTTCCTTAACATATTCTTGAAACGATTCCATGCCTCTTCAAATGATTCAGACTCACCTTGGTTGAAAATAGAGATATCATGCCGCATTTTTGCTACCTTTGCTGGCGAGAAGAACTTGGTGCAGAATTTGTGGGCTAGCTCGCTCCAAGTGGTGATGCTTGCAACGGGAAGCGAATCCAGCCATTCAAGTGCCTTATCCCGCAAGGTGTATGGAAACAACCGCAGTCTTATAACATCGTCCGAGATACCCTGGTACCTAAAGTGTTGGCACATATCTAGAAATCGGGATATGTGTGTATGTGGGTTTTCACTAGCCATCCCGTGGTATTGATGCTCATTCTGAAACATTTGAATCACATTTGTTTTCAGCTGGAAGTTCGGTTGCCCAAATGGAGGATACACAATGCTAGATTGACTTTGGACCACCAATGGAGCCATGAAGTCCCCAAGTACTATATTCCCATCATCTTCAACTGCCATGCCTTCGTTGCGTGGAATTGTCGATCGATTTTGCTCGTTAGCCATTTGTTGTGCCGCTCTTGCTTCTCTTTGCCTATGATGGAATGTGCGTTCGATCTCTGGATTTATGGAAACCAAATCTTGATCAGGTACTCCTTGCATACAAGCCCTGAGATTACAAAATCAATACAAAATTAAATTGAAGTATTAATAAACTAAACGTAGTAAACGAATTACTACTAATCTAGATAAGTTCAAATTAGTGTCACAAAAGATAAAATTAAAACTAAATTTCAATCCCTGGCAACGGCGCTAAAAACTTGTTCGCTAAATTATTTGTTTCGATTTTAAATCTACCGCAAGTGTACGGTTCGTTAACAAGTAGTAAAATAGACTATAAGTCCAAGTATCGATCCCACAAGGATTGAATTAGTTCGAATTAATCTATTATGACCTTAACCGAAACACGACAAGCAAATTGCATTTTTGTACTTTGACTAACAAAATGTAATCGTTGGTGCAATTATTGACTAAGGATTATACTAAATTCAAAGTAACTTGGATGCAGTTTAACTAAAATTTTATAGAATTAATGGATGTTCTAACTCACTAGGATCACGAATCCCCAAATAATACCTGTTCAATAGTCATTTATGCAAATTTGACACACAATTTCACAAAAGATGAATCGATATTCCTATTTTAATTTAGCAATCTCTCTCGAGCAATGCCAAACCTATCCCAATATATGATTCGACTATATTTCTATGATAAATACTAATATAACGACATGCATTATAATTCACGAATATCAATTGATTCACACAAGGCATAGAGGTATATTTCTATCCTCTATCGGACCCTATGACGATTTATACTATGTCGTTTATACTATGTCGAACTTATTTTCCTTCTTTCGAATGTATAAAACAGGTCACCACATTCATATAATCACGTGCACAATAATTATATGAAAATAAAAACGAAATAAATCAATCAATTCCGGAATTGGTGTTTACATACGTCAAAGATCCAAGACAATAATTAAACGTGGTATTACAAGGTTCATCGATCTCCTAATAGTAATAAATTTAGCCTAACATGCTAAAAAGAACAGAACTTAAAAGTATTTGAAAAAACGACATCACCCGAATCAATATTCACTTCGATCTTCAATTGGCACAGTGTTTATCTCTTGTTTCTTCTTCAAAATCTTCCAAAAACATGTAAAATCGACGTCCCCTTCGTTCTGGTCAAGTTTTTGTATTTATAGGACCCTAAAATCTTGTTTTCATAAGAGTTTCGAAACAAAAAAGGAAACCAAATTTTTTTTAAATTTTTTGTTCTATGCGACCGCATAAAGCAATTCTATGCGGTTGCATAGAAGAATTTTTTCAACCATATTTTGTTTCGGTATGGTATTATGCAACCACATAGAGGATAGTACTATACGGTCGCATAGTACTATCAACTATGGAGAAATTGTGTTTTGGTCCTCCAACTTGCATCCTTCACTTCTTATCATCTCCTCTTCATTCTTTTCATTTCATCACCCCACGATATCATCAGTTGGTAATTGGCCTAATTGATTTCTCGATTTGTTCATCGGATCAACTTTTGAATATTTGCACTTTTGGTCCCTGAACTTTTACTTTGCGTCACTTTAGTCCTTTTTCGCGTGTTTTCTCCTGAATTTCACCATGTTCATCGTTGTTTCCTACAATTCACAAATGTACAAGATTAAGTCGTAATTCAATCATTTTGCTCGTATTTAAGTCATGTTTGTAACCTAAATAAGTGTACAAAAACATACTTATTATCCTCCGTTTCATCCTAAAAGTCAAGTCCTACTTTCGCCAGTGGCTCTTAAATTGATTGATGGTATCCAACTTAATAGAAACTTTATCCTAAGTGCCAAACAACCCTCATGCAAAATTTATCGACCCCAAGAACGATCTCTTCCTATATTGTTGTATCCAGCCGGAAGAGTCGTGCTTATGACCTTGAGTAGGAGAAAAAGACATATTTCGAACACCAGAATATTCCATTACTAACATCAATATATTTTATTACATCGAACACCAAAATATTCTATTACTGTTAGAGATGGAAATAGTATAATTATATATATAGACAGACAAAACAGTAATGACTTGTAATACAATCTCCCTCAATACCAGAAAATTATCTTCAAAATTTTGTAGGAAACTACATGACAGAACACGCTCCAAAAGAAACTCTATACAGCAGACTTTGCTGAGTTTAGTACTATATACACTACTTAAAGATGCATAATAAATGAAATGAAATAAATCAAGTCTATTTTGCATTCAAGAAAACAGGGTTCAACCGACTCCATGTTTGCTCAGCTGTTATATATTCACCATATTCCACTATTTTCTCCTTCCTTTATGTGAAGCTGAATGTTTCTCTCAAAAAATGGTTATCTTCTTCGACCTCTGTCCTTCCACCATAGGTGATTTTTATGGTGCTCATTGACCTGGAATCTTGGAGTTCTGTATCTTGATAAGTATCTACCAGCATCATCAACTCTCCCCATATTGTTGTCGTCCCTTGATCCCTGAACATTGTCTGCTTTCTTGTCTTCAAAATATTTGGGTTTAATGGGTTTCACAGGTTTCACTTCATAATTGTCATGACCATTCGAATGATTCCAACCCCAGTTATTATTCGAATCACCTTCCCACGGCATATGTCCAACAGCTCCACTGACATCGCTAACGTACCATGTATTATTGCGATAATCAGTGCATCCATTTGCAGTTCCATCCCAGTCATGCAACTCTAAAATACCATAATTGGCAGGAGATTCATTAGTTGGTATTTTAAAATTCTCTTCATTGTCACCCCAGCCAGTCGATAAGAATGCTTGGTTTGCAAGGAAAGAATCGCCAAAAATTACGACTGTCTCGTGGTTTTCACCTGCCTTGGGAATTTCGGGATTGCATTCAAACTCCAATAGCACCTCCGCATCAATTTCCAAACTCCAATTTATTTCATCAATGTAAAGATCTGGATCCGGTAACAATGCATCACAGGGGAGGCCCTGCCTTTTTGCCCAGAATCGTTTCTTGGCATTTCTAAATGCCTCTTCCCCAGCAGAATCATTCCATTCAAGCACATTATTGTATAGATGAATGAATTTCTTCATGTGCAAAAATGTTTCCCAATCTATTGAACCAATCACTTTGCAGAATTCTTTCTCCCATAAAGGCACTCTTGGCTGCCAACTACCTGCAGGAGGTAGTGTAAAGCATATGAATTTCAGATATGAAAAGATAAAGAAAGACCAACTCCACACATAAATGTATGAAAATAGAAGTTTCTTTTATTTAATTTTTCCTACTAACTAAGAAATTGATATAGATACATTTGAAGCATAATAGACAACAATGGAACAGCAAAATAGAGCTAGCGAATGCATTCAAGGAAAATAACACCAAAGACAAATACAGCTCGTCATTACGTGCAAATGTAGAGGTATCCATTCGAGTTTTACAAACATTTGAGTATGATTTATCTTCGCACTTTACCTGCCATATTTTACTAATTTGAATCTATTGAAATAAATACATAATTCACAAAATCTTGGAAAATTTCTAGCTATTGCCTAAAATAGACATATTAAATCCAAGAACTTATAGTAACAAATGCATTAAAGGAATAAGCAGAAATTATACCAAAGACAAAATAGCTTATCATTACATACAAATGCAGGGGTATCTATTCATGCTTTACAAACATTTGAGCATAATATTTTCATCTTCACCCTTTATCTGCCTCGTTTTACTAATTTGAATCTATGAAAATAAATACATAATTTACAAAATCAAGGGAATTTCAAGCTACCTCACAAGTTTCTCAGTATAAAATAACCAATTTACATCCAAGAATTTATAATAGTCGTGCAGGAGTCTATAACATGCCAAATTTAAATCAGAAAATATATTCTCCGAATCTATGAACAAACTATTGGCAACTTTAAAATTTTAAAAGGCCAATTGGCAGCAAACGCCAAAAATTTCAAGAGTAATCCATAAATCCTAAATTTCTTATGGACTAAAAAGAGTGGAAGACCATCATAGTTCACATATGGCAGTAAGACTAGCATTTCCATAAGATTTGACAAAGTTTTACCCCGAAGGGCTGCAAACATCTTCCTTTAACAAGCTAACCAGGACCAGTGTATGAAAAATGAGGTAAATAGTGCATAAAAGGAGCAATAAACAGAATAGATGACCTCATTACCAAAATAAGGCATGAAAAAAATGCAATCTAGAAATCAAAGAAACAATTCTAGAAAACTTGCTATTCAAATTACACAATTTCATAACCAAAATACGACACGAAAAAATGCACATGCAGAAAGCAAGAAACTCAGGATACAAATCCAGAAAAAGACTTGATATTTTAGGATAATTCTAAGTGTACATAATTTGGTTTACCTACTCTCACAAGCATGTGGACCTGCGTGAATAAAATAATCCCAACATGTGGTCCCACACCCCTATTGTGAGTGTATGTAAAGAATTAGGTATATCGTCTTATTTATAAAGCATGAACTATAGGCAAATTTCAAATTTCAGAACCTTCGAGAAGACAAAGAAACGAAAAATACTTTTCAAACAATATAAGAAACCGTTCAAGAAGCTCACAGGTTGTGCCTGATTTTGAAAACCATAACATGCAAACAGAGAAACAAAAATAAAAATAGTCAAAATTCAAAACCAAAATGTTAAACGAACCACGGGGTGGCTTCTTATACTGCGGTGATTTGCTTCTGCGAGGTTCCTGTCTATGATTATCCCACTTTTGACTCCGCCAATTCTCCATCGGCAAAATCCAGAAATCTAAAACAAAGAGCAACAAAAATTTACGCGTTAATTATTCAAAAAAATAAAAAACCACAAAAAGAAATTAAACCGCCAACGAACAAAATTCGCACTAAAATCACAGGAAAAACAAACGGGTACTTGAGATTTTTCTTCAAGATTCCAGAAGCAGCCAAAAAGGCGTGTTTAATCCACAGAAGCCGCAGTTCCAAATATTTTGGCCTAGTTATTTTCTATTTAAAATACACAGAAAATTTGAATACAAAGATATTTATCTGGATTAGGAATCGAAAATTTCTTGTTTGAGACCTTAAAATGGTGTGATTGAGAAAGAATTAAATAGAGAGGGAGAGGGGAAGGGGGAGGGAGAGGGTCTCAAAAAGTGATCATAAAGGGTAACTAGGAAAACGTTTCAAAACGGTGTTTTGTGAGAAACACAGAAAACTAGACTGGCAAAACAGCACAGATAATCAGCTGTTACTGTTTTGTTTTTGTTTACATTTATGGCCCCCGATTTTGTGAATAAATTAGATATTGGTCCGCTTCTTCTTTGATAAGGACTAAACACTTTGACATGTGATTGTGAAATTATTATTTTAATGGCATGGTTGTTATGCTGGTAGTAGTAAGATTGTCTTCGTATCGGTTTGTGAATACAGTTGTTTTCCTTGTACATGGGATTTTTTGTCAGACGACAGCACCTAATCGGCAAAACTTCTTTTACAATTTTCAATAAAAAAATATAACAAATGTCTCCCCGTATAAACCTCGACAAAATCCTCAATACATGTAGCAACTCTATTGTGAATAAGGTAAACGTATGAGAATCGGAAAAGGGTATTGTATTGGGTAGAGGACAATTTAAAAAGTAGATTCTCACTCTATCGGAAAAATAAAAAGAAAAATTTGAATTTTATAAGTTTTACTTATAATCCATCATTATATATATAAAAGATACTTGTCGAGAGAAAATTTTGAAATATATTGTGTGTGATTTAGTTAGATAGTCATAGTCTACACAACTAACAAACACTTCACGTGTTTTATTTATTTATTCGGTTATCTTTATTTCTAATTAGTTTAGTCATCTAGCATATCAAATATAACCTTAAGGGTTCTTTCGTTATTGTTCTAACTTGATGTTTACCAAATCATGACATGAAAATAGTTCTTCGAATTTATTACTTTCATGAATTTTTAAGTCAATTTAATCATGAAGAAGTCGGATTGATTCATCTAAAAGGTATTAACAATAATACACTTGCAAATATATGGAAATAAAATGGTGAATAAGTGAATAATATTTATGAATCTCATAAAATATGTAGATATATTATTCTTCCCAAAATACATTTTTCTCTTTTCGTTCCAACCACATATTATTCATTAAAATAATATTACACATAAATCAACAAAAATTTCTTATTTTTCATCACACATTTCTCATCAATCTACTATTTTAAAATATATTTTATTATTATTATTATTATTTTATAAAAATGGCGCTCAAACACTCAGAAAAATGATTTAACTTCTGGCAAATATTTATGAGGAACATTTTCCAAGCATATGGGTTCACGTTATGCTTTTCAAGAAAAAAATTCCTCAATTGCTCAGCATTTAATTCTTTTCCAAGTTCTTTACCATAATTCTTCAATGCCTTGTGAAGCGTGGAGCTTCCTAGTAACATATCCAATAGAGAATTGTTTAGTCTCTATCTACGCAGGTCAACAGATTGTTAGTTAAGTAAAATGTTACGTCAAAAAATGAGCTGGGAGCGCCTTCCACAAATGTCTGTGTGTTGATGCGATGCAATGACATCCTATCACCTTGTCAACAAATGCCTATGAGATGACTAGGCTAGTTGTTTAATACACGAAATAGGATAAAGAAAGAGGAGTTTATGAACTAAAGGGAGGCCAGGCATCTTCATTTTTTTATTAGCTACTTATTGAAAACAGGCAGGATCTAGATTTCTTTTAATTAAAGTAAAATGCAGCCACCTCAATGATCACCAACTTCTGAGGTTTTTAGAAAACAACCCAATGCCACATCGACGACAGCCTGGAAGACAAATTAACTTCTTGTAGGTTCATCGCCTTCCTTCTTCAAGGCAATAATTGGACTCTCAATAAACTGGCTCATAACGATAGCCTCCATGATCGAGATGGTTGAATTTCGATCCTTAAAGTCGTGGCTCATGAGTAAATGGCGGCATAAACATATGGAGCCATGCAAGATATGAGTGATATGGCATCACTACGGTGATATCGCCTTGGACTACGTGCAAGGACACTGACCTACTGATGTTTATAATAATATTTTTTTCACCGAAAATGCTTTAGGTCGGAGGTCAAGGGGAAGGATATCCTTCTTCTTAGTTATTTGATAACTTTCTTCGTATTTATAAATCAATAAAATAATTTTTAGTTTAATATTATTCATATTATACCCCCAAAAGTACAATTGACAAATAAGTTTATTATGAATTGTATCAAGTCTCAAATAAATTAATAGCATTTTTGAAATGAAAAGTAATAGATGCATTTTATATAATCCTTATTCAGTTCGATCTACACCTAATGACGTTTTCAAGTACCCATTTCTTTTTTGCTATAGTTATATTTGAGCCAATAAAAATGACCTTAATTCACATGTTGCTTTCTTCTTCTTCTTTTCCCTCTTAAGACGTGGGGACAATTGGAAATGTAGCTACACCTATAGAAATTTTGACCCAAAACTGTTAAAGTTGTTTTGGCTTGTTGCAATAAAAAGTCACTACATAAATGGAATTTTCAAAGTGCCTAAATCCTAATGCTCGATAGAGTTTAGTTTTATTTTATTTTTTTTTCTTTCAAAACATCGCAATGTTGGACCATTCAAAAAGTAATAGATGCATTCTATATAATCCTGAATGTGAGGTGATTGCAGCCTTTAGTACGGGCTTCGACTCAAATATCAAGCCTGCATAATAGTTTTTTTTTTTTTATCGGTAAATGTAAATGTATAGATAAAAAATGTACCATGTACAAATACACCGGGCATACCCGGGCTAGACAATGTCCATAATCAAATACAAGTACTCCGGGCATACCCGGGCAAATCAATGTCCAAAAACGTGCAAAAAAAAAGATCAATGATGAAAGTACTAATAGACACCATTAGCAAGAGAATCATAGAGAATAGTGTTCCAAGCAACAAAAGGTTTCTTACCCCCCCCCCCGAAAGGAAGCTACGACAAAGACTATTGATTTTAGAAATTACCGTAGCCGGGATAGGGAGGATAGAAAGCCAAAAACATTCCACACCTTGGAGGACGGCTCGCACAAACTCAGTCCTACCTGCATATGATAGAGAGGAAGTCGACCAAGAACCAATATAAGATGAGATTTTATTTGTGAGCACATCATAACACCCAACTTTCAATTTTTCCGCCGCAAGTGGTACTCCCAAGTACCTAAACGGCATGGAGCTAATAGGGAGATTTGTGAGAGCAAGAATATCCTCCAAATCTTTATCATGAATACCCGCGGTGTAGATGCAAGATTTCCCAACATTTATATTCAATCCCGACATGCCTCCAAAATCCGAAAGGCAATTCAATAAAATATCCAAAGACATGACATCCCCTCTAGCAAATAACATCAAGTCATCCGCAAAAGCCAAGTGTGTGATCTTCAATTGAGCACACTTGGGGTGATAGTTGAAATTACTGTTCGAAGTAGCCACCTTTAACGATCTAGATAGGTATTCAAGGCAAAGAATAAACAAGTAAGGGGAGAGTGGATCACCTTGTCGAAGACCTCTTTTGCCGTTGAAAAAACCATGAAGATCCCCATTTATCGCTATGGAATAAGATGGAGAAGTCACACATTCCATAATCCAATCAACAAAGATATTGGGAAACCCCAACCCTTTAAGAACTTCTTCAAGAAACTCCCAATTCACCGAATCAAAGGCCTTAGTAAGATCAATTTTGAGGAGGCACCGTGGAGCAACCCTCTTACGGTTATATTGTCTCAAAAGTTCTTATGCCAAGTGAATATTTTCAATCATACTCCGACCCTCAACAAATGCGGATTGAGCTTGGTCCACAATAGAGTCAAGCATAGGCTTCAAACGAGAGGCAAGAATCTTAGTGATTACCTTGTAAAAGACGTTGCAACATGCAATAGGCCTATAATCCCCCACCGAAGAGGAGTGAGTACCCTTAGGTACCAAGGCTAAGATGGTGTGATTAATTTGCTTGCGAAGAGATCTCGAAACAAAAAATTCCTCAATAGCATCCATAAAATCATTACCAACAATGTCCCATGATTTTTTGAAGAAACAAGAAGTAAATCCATCCGGGCCCGGGACTTTATCATCCCCAATGCTAAAAAGAGCTTCTTTGATCTCTTGCCTCATAATATCCCGAACAAGTAAAGAAGCATTCTCCTCCGACAACATCGGTCCGTTCCTTATAACATCCACATTAGCATGCTGTCCAACAGTTTTTCTCCCCAATAATTCACTATAGAAATGTGTGAATTCGGTGCCAACCTCCTCAAGAGAGGTAGAATAAAACCCGTCTCTCTTAAGTATAGCCGGGATGAAATTCCTCTTGACATTCCTCTTGGCCAAAGAATGAAAATACTTAGTACATTTGTCACTATTCTTCAAATGCACACACTTTGCTTTTTGATAATAGAAACTCCTTTCCGCTTCACAAAGAGTATTTGCCTCTTTTCTCAAACGAACAACTTCACATTTAAGATGAGGATTTTCTAGGTCATTGTGCAATTCAACATGTGCCAAATCAAGTTTCTTGGAAGCATTTTCGGCCCTAGAGGAAATGTGAGCAAAATGTTTCTCATTCATCTTCTTAAGCAATCCTTTGAGGCAATGGAGTTTCTTGCAAAGAAAAAATTGCTTTGTGCCAACAAAAGCTTTACCCCAACCAAGAGACACCAAATCAAGGAACTCTTCATGCCGAGTCCACATGTTGAAGAATTTAAACGGCCTTCTCTTTCTTTCTACTTCCCCAAACAAAGTGACAATGCAAGGGCAGTGATCGGAAAGGCATCCCGGGGGGAGGAAGTTTGCAAAACTATCAAAGCTCTCAAGCATCCATGCCTCATTTACCATAGCATGATCAAGTTTACTCCAAACGGAATTATTAGTCCAAGTAAAGAAGCATCCAATCGATCTCAAGTCCGAAAGTCCAATATTTTGGCAACACATGTAAAAATCTTTAATCTCATAAGGCGTGACATCGGGCCCATTACTCTTTTCATCAAAGTTAAGCACATTGTTGAAATCCCCAAGAACCAACCATGGCAAAGAGCAATTGAGACCAAAAACTTGAAGATCATGCCAAAGGGGCCTACGAGGCACAATAGTATTGAATGCATATACAAAAGTAACAAAGAAGGTACGCGAGGTTACCTTGCAAGTAATAGAGCAATAA